CGCAGATTGCGCCGACTTCATCTGGATCTCTTCACGTAGACTGCCCACCTCCCGCGTGAGCTTTGCGACTTCCTCTTCCAGATCGTGAACCTTCTGACGTGATGCCTTGAGCTCGTCTTGTGCCTTCTTGGCATCTTTCGTCAACTTATCCCGGCTCTCAATGACATCCTTTCGCTCCGTTTCCGAGTTTTGGAGGTCTCGCTGGATCTTCTTGTTAGTCTCCTCCAGCGCAAGCCTCTGGCTGGTTTCTTGTTTGATTTTGTCGTTGAGTGTCTTGATATCGCTCTCCTTGCTCGACAGCTGAGACTTGTATTCGGTAATCTCCGATCTGAGGTCTTTCTCGCGGTTTTCCAGCCGGCGGACTTCTGTAGTCTTAGTGGAAAGCTCGTCCTTGGTGCTACGCAGCTCCGCCACCTCCTTGCGCAATGATGTCAGCTCCGGTTGCGCCTTTTGCAGCACCTCTCGCATTTCGGTGAGGTCTTTGAAGCGGGATGCCGCGAGCTTTTCTGCAACCGAAAGATCTGTCTGCAATGTCTCTGCCTTTGACTTGAGCTCCGTGAACTCGGCGGTCAGCGCCTCTCTTTCTTGTTGCGACGACTCGTTTGATGCTTTGCTGGTCTTCAACTCAGCGATCTCAGCCTCAAGCTTGCTAAGATTTTCTTGCAGCGCCGCCTTCTCGGCTTGCAGTTCCTTGACCTTATCCTTGGCCTCAGTGTGTTCAAGGCCATAGTCAAGAAGGTCTTGACGCAGGGTATCGATCTCTTCCTGCATGTCTTCTTGATCTTTTGCCCTCTTGCTGAGGCGGTCGATAGTCGACGCCTTCTCCGCGACTTCGGTTTGCAATGTTTCGATAGCTGCGACCTTCTCTTCAAGGTCAGACTTAAGCTGCGCGACATCTTTCAAAGCGTCTTCAAGTTGGGACGGCGAGAATTCCGCATCACGAGGGCTAAGAAGGCCTTCAGCATCTCCAGCTTCACTGGGTGTTGCTTCAGGTGTCAACGTTCCACTGGCCTCAGGTCCCTTTCCGCCCTTCTTGTTCTTCTTGTTCTCCTTGGCACGTGCTCTCTTCTTGGCTGCTGCGCTCTGGGGAGCTTGTGCTGGGGTCGCTTGCGGCTGCTGGACTGGTTCGGGTTTGGTCGACTTCTTCTCGTCGTTGGCTTTCTGCAGGTCCTTCTTCGCTTGCTCGAGCTCGACCAAAGCGCTATCGCGTTTTGCCTCTGTAGTCTTTAGTTGCTCGCGAACTTTGCCGAGCAATCCGTCCATAGTCTCGTTCCGCTTCTCGGCCTTGGCTTGTGTTTCGCGCAGTTGCGAGAGTTCACCCTGGAGTTGTTCGATTCGCTCCTTGAGCTCTTGCACCTGATCATCTTCCACAATCTTCTCTCCCTTGTCCGCATGTAGCTCTTCCAGTTCCTTGGATGTTGTGTCAAGCTTCGTCTTGAGTTCGGCGATGGTCCTTTCATTCTGGTCATGAGTATCCTTGTGCTTGTGTAGCTCTTCCTCGGCGCTTTCAACCTTCGACTTGAGATCCACAATGGTGTTGTTGAGCTCCTTTTCGCGGTCGTCGGCGTCCCTTTGTAGTCGTTGATGGGTGTCCTTGAATGTGTTCAGATCGTTCGTCGTAGTCTCCAGGTTCTGCATGAATGACTGTGCCGATTCCTGAGCCGTAGAAAGCTCTTCCTTGAGCGACTTGTTCTCCTCCTCGAGCTTTCCGACCTTCTCCTCGCTTTCCTGCAATTGTGTCTGCAGGCGGGGCAGCTCGCTGTCGTACGAGAAGAAGTCTTCCGTGTCTTCGGTGCTCTCAGTTTGCTTGGACGCTTTGGAGGGTGACGACGGCGCGACGGACTCGGTCTGTGTTGTAGAATCGTCCGGTACAGCCTCGCTGGCAGCCGGCGCCTGGGACTTCAGCGTCTCGACCTCAGCCGTAGCCTCCTTCGCGCGCTTCTCGGCGTCCTCCAGCTTCTTGTTGAGCTCATCGCGCTCCTTGGAAACCCGCTTGAGTTCCTCCATGAGCATGTCACTCTTGACGTTCAGTTGGCCTAGGTATTCAACGAATGCGCCCGTGTCGCTGATGGAAGTGAGAGGGGTGTATTCGCGTAGGGAGCTCTCGAAAGCCTCGATTGCGCCCACTCTGGCGTGTGCGATGCGGTACGACCGAAGGAGTTCTGGAGGGGGATTAGCTTGGCGCATACATAGGGAAGGCGTCACTCACCCGTATACTTGGGGTCCAGCTTGTCCAGCCTGCGCAATCGCAATTGGATCTCGCGCGGCAGCTCTGGTGGCTGCTCTGGCTTCACTTCCGCTTCGGCAGTCGGCCCCTCTTCCTCCTCCTTCTTGCCATCGCCATTCTCCGCATTCACTTCGGCGGGTTGCGCCTTCTCCTTTGGTCGCGGTGTGCCGGCTCGACTCGGCGGGTCATCTTCTTCTCCTACGACAAATTCCGGGTCAAACTCTGAGGGGTCAGGGCCCTTCCCTGCCGGCGCGGCCTTGCTGCTGTCGCCATCTTTCGATCTCGCTGTGCGCTTCGAGGGCGAGAGGTTGCGTGAGTTGGATCTCCGTGTTGTGGAGCTGGATCGTGGAGTCCCCGATGGTGAGGTGGCTTTCTGGCGCGCTTGCTCTTCTGCTATTCTGGCGTCGATGGCCCCCCGAATGCGCTGAGTCTTGTCAGCATGCCCATGATGCAACGTGGATGGGAATCGGTTACCTGGAACATGATGCTGCTGAATTATGAAGGAGTATAGAAAAACATGCAAAGTAGACAAGTAATACACTTTCCTAATGGAATATCAAACACGGAACCATGGGGACAAACCACTATTCTGACACGTTCTGGGGTCCGTCGCGGCTAGGTGACATGGATCGGGGACGCTGGACAGGCGCTAAAATCAGCCTTCGGTAAGCTAGTGCGGCGGGAATCCTCACTTTTTCTCTCGCTGCCCGTTCCCCCACCAGAACGACAACGATAATCCAGCACAATGGCAAACGTGGAGATTTCACTGCCGCTGCCGGTCCTGCCTGAGGGCTGGGCTGGTGAGAAGGACTTCAAGGCCATCGGCCAGCTGAGCGACGCCAACGACCGCAAGATCGAGCCTGTTGGCCCGCACTTCCTCGCCTACGCCCGCAGAGTATGTGCTTCGACGATGATTGGCATATGCAGTACTGACGAGTTCTACAGAAGCGCAACAAGCGCACTTTCTCCGAGGATGACCGCATCCAGGCGCAGGCCAACGTCAAGAGCGTCGAGGAGGAGGACCCTGATGATGTTGACGAGCCCGAGGACCCCGTCATGCTGCAGCGTGAAGCCAAGGACTGGAAGGTAGGGCGATTACACAGGCTATTGTACACTCTTACTAACATCTCCCAGTCACAAGACCACTACGCCGTACTCGGCATAACCCGCTACCGATGGAGGGCCACCGACGAACAGATCAAGCGCGCCCACCGCAGGAAGGTGCTCAAGCACCACCCCGACAAGAAGGCAGCCAAGGGCGGAACCGAGGACGACCAATTCTTCAAGTGTATCCAAAAGGCCCACGAGGTGCTTTCCGACCCCGTCAAGAGGAGGCAATTCGACTCCGTCGACGAGGGCGCTGAGGTTGAGCCACCATCCAAGAAGGACACACAGAAGGGCAACTTCTACAAGCTCTGGGGCAAGGTCTTCGAGGCCGAGGGACGCTTCTCCAACAAGCAGCCTGTACCCAAGCTGGGTAACGCCAACAGCACCAAGGAGGAGGTCGAGCACTTCTACAACTTCTGGTACAACTTCGACAGCTGGAGGACCTTTGAGTACCTGGACGAGGATGTGCCCGATGACAACGAGAACCGTGACCAAAAGCGTCACGTCGAACGCAAGAACCAAAACGCGCGTCGCAAGAAGAAGACTGAGGACACTACTCGTCTGAGGCACATGGTCGACGACTGTCTGGCGCTTGACGAGCGCATCAAGAAGTTCCGCCAGGCTGAGAACGCACAGAAGAACAAGCGCCGTCTCGAAAAGGAGGCTGCCGAGAAGGCCGCAAAGGAGGAGGCCGAGAAGAAGAAGGCCGAGGAGGCTGCAGCTGCAGCTGAGAAGGAGGCTGCTGAAAAGGCCGCAAAGGCCGACAACAAGAAGGCCAAGGAGGCAGCGAAGAACGCGGCAAAGAAGAACAAGCGTGTTGTGCGTGGTGCCGTTAAGGACGCCAACTACTTCCACGGTGCCGGCGATGCGCCCGCTTCCCAGGTCGATGCCGCTCTCAACGACGTTGATCTCATCATCGTAAAGCAGGACAACGAGGAGTTGGCTGCATTGACCAGCAAGCTCAACGGCGTCAAGGATGCCGGTAAGATCAAGGAGATCTTCCAGGAGGAGGCCCAGCGTCTCATTGGTGCTGCAAAGCTTACGCAGGGCGAGCTCAAGGCTCTGGCTTGAAAAGCGGCTCAGGCTGCACCCACTTCTTGATAGACGTTGTTTAGACTTGGACGTAACGGGAATAATGATATGCATGATTCCATTTGTGACAAGCCCTCTTATCTTTCATCTCAAACTCAAGTCGAACTCGCAGCCAGCATTACAGCAACCCCCAGATTATTCACCCATCTGATGTCATGCTTTCACATGTGTCAAATGCATCCAGCGGGCGTTTCCGCGGCGGTCGGTACCAGGGTCTAAACATGATGGCGTGGATGCGGATCGCGCGACACACCACCAAGAAGCCAAGCGCTGCCGTCACCCGGAACAGGCAGTGCATTAACGACACCCAAAGTTTGGCTTGAGCCGGCATTCCTCTCTCACGACCACTGCGACACTACCACTACAATTCCCTCCGCCATCGTTAATCGCCCATTTACCCCGCGAGCACTATTTCCCCGCGCCAAGGACCCCTACACGACGCACAGCAGCACCGATCGCCTGCGCAAGCCCACGCAGCCAGCAGGTTTCTCGCGGTCGGACCTCACTGGCACTGCGCTCGCCTGATTGGATTTGGCCGACGACCTCGTGCCCGCAATCTCACTCCGACATCACTATGAGCGCGTCCCCCACGTCCAGAGACGGCCGGCATGCGTCTCCAGCGCCGCGAAAGTCCTCAGGGCCCTACAAGGTCAGCCCGCTGCAGCTCCCCACGGGCGGACACCTCGCGCAGGACGAGGTACGCCGGCCGTCGATACAGTTTCTGGCGCACAGGAATCAGTCGCTACCCAGAGGCCAACCCAGGCCCCGTGAACGACGCCGGTTGTCGTCACCGCCGCCTCCACCGTAAGTATTGGTTCGCTCATGCCTCATGCACCCCGGGTATATCTAAGCTTTGCGCTACTTTGCGCCCGTCTTCCTCTTTCCATGTACTTATGGCGCACAAATGGCGAAGTATGCTTCCGGCGTGCTAGAGCTCAGATGGGCACTTAGCTCCATATCTTGCGAATACCTTGTAAGGCCCTTGGACTGACACTTCACTCAGCGTCTTTCAACCTCGGGTATCTTTCGACACCTTCGACAAGCCCGCAGACTTCATCGAGGAGAGCTCATTCACACTCATCGCCAAGCACAAGGACTACGAATACACAAAGCGTTCGCGGACGTTCCTCTGTGGTTTCGACGAGAACGAGTACTCGGTATACGCCCTACAATGGCTCATCAACGAGCTAGTCGACGACGGAGACGAAATAGTATGTCTCAGAGTAGTCGAGAAGGAGGATGCAATAGCAGGAGACCGCAGCGTAGAGACTGGGCGGTATCGCGTGGAGGCTGACAACACCATGGCCGACATACAAAGTCGAAATCACGACAACAAGGCGATCAATCTGATATTGGAGTTTTCCATCGGTAAGGTTAACAAAGTTATCGACGACATGGTTAGTCTTCCGCGGTCGCGTAGCTGTTTCATATCTAACAGCAGACAGATCAATCTCTACGAACCAGCAATTCTGGTAGTCGGGACACGAGGCAAGAGCTTGGGCGGATTCCAGGGACTGCTTCCTGGCAGTGTGTCGAAATACTGTCTACAACATTCGCCAGTACCTGTCATTGTCGTACGCCCCACATCGAAACGCGACAAGGCGAAGAGCAAGCGCACCAACGATCCAGACCGCCAGGGTTACAGAGAAATTCTGGCGAAGAGTGAGAGCCTTCCTGAATTTAACAGCCCTCGTAACAGCTTCTTCGCAAATGAAGACGAGGCAGCAATAGTTGGGGGAGCGGCAACCGCACCGAAACCCGCCGTAGAGGCGCATCCTCTAGCACAAGTGGAACAAGCGCCAGACAGCAGCGAGGACGAGGAAGAAACTCGCACCACCACTGTGGTCAATGACTTGGTCAATGATGATCCACGAAGCCCTGGCCCGATGATGAAGAGCCCACATCTACAGAATCTGAGCAGCCCAGAGCTTAGTAGCCAGTCTGGTAGCGACGACGAAGATGGCGATGGCGGAGTCTCGACTTCGGGAACTTCGGCAGTAGAAAAAGCATCGATCGCAACGGGGCAGACAAGTGTTGGCGAGGGAGACGCAGGCGGTGGGAATGCGTCAATGTCGTACATGGACAGTCTCACAAGTGGAGCGAAGGAGTCGAAGGAATCGAAGGAATCACAGGGTGCATAGTGGAAGCATCAATCAAGGATCGGGGTGCGAAGGGAGGCAGTGTGAGTCTCGTGGAAAATATGTCGTTTGGCCAGACTAATTCTGGACCGCGTCATGAAGGGTGGTGAAGGAGACATGGGCGGTGGAAACCGTCGGTGTCGTACATGAATAGACACGGGTGCAACTCGAAGAGCCCCAAAGACACACCCGCACATTATGGCGCAAAGGGAATTGGGGGCGCATAGTTTTAGCATTCAATACCCAAGATATCTCGTCTCTCACATCAGCCTCAAAGATAGCAGACTGTGGTGTTTCATGTGCTCCTGCCAGACCCCGGTATGATCGACGCGATGACGTTTCGTGTGGCTTGACGCCGCGACATGCATGCGCGTTCCCGGCCCCAGTCCCTCATTGACTGATTGCCTCACTTGCGTAACCTTCCACATTCCCCCAAGACCCCCATGTGTCAACGTATCCATACCGCGCCGCGTAATCAATGGGTATCCGCACCTCGCCCATAACCAGGACAAACTGGCAATAGCCACCAGCCACACATTAGCTGCCGAATAACAAGACCGCCTATCCGATGATCCCGACTCTGCAAGACGACTGCGATGAGTGCATGCCGGACTATGCGCTGCACCGCAGCCCGATGACGGTCGCTATATCGGCGCTTCCTTTTATCGTCACCTTCCTCGTTGCTTCGGTCGCGGCGCAGAAGTTGTTCCCTATCTTATCAGGGAATGCGGATCGCAAAGCCCACCATGACAGCGCGCGACTGCCTGGGGCACCACAACGCGAACGCCCCTCCATACTGAGCAGTCTACGCCCAAATGCGCGATCGCTCGCCAGCATTCTCTTCTCGACCAACTTCGCCCTTTCTGCCGTACTCGCCGAGCTCATCCTCTGCGAAATCTCCAACACCGTCAACCGCGCCACGCGAACGTTAGCGCTCAAGATCACCCTTCCTTCTCTGCTCTTTCTGCTTGTCGTCGCGACACCGGCGATTGAGATTCACTCGATCATATCGGGGACTGGGCTGAATATTGGTGGAGAAGAGAAGAGTCGGCGACGGGCAGCATGGGTGTTGGAGCTGTGTGGGCTGGCGACATGGCTGGCGGGGTTTTGGTATCTTGGTCGGGGGCTCCTGGGCTCGTATCTGCATGAGGAGTCGTATGAACATGATCATACCTTCAGCGAGGGCTGCCTGGAGAGAATAGGCATTATTGGCATCAGCTTGATGGCTTCATTAGCTGGGTTTGCTGCTATATCCGCGCTTTGGCATACGTTTGGTGTCAAGTATCGCCCGGTAAGTCCTCGTCGTCTCCCAGGGACATAAGCATTTGCCAGATATACTAATTCTTCCTAGGTCACCGAATCAGACATCGGTCGCAAGCAAGCCGGCATACAAGCTACGAACGACATGCTCCTAACGAAGGAGAGTCGACTCCGAGCGGTCGAACGGAAACTCGCGGATAATCCTCAACAAGGCTTCATGGGCCGCGTAGTAGGCTCGATCCGTGGAAATCCCGACATCCAGGAGCGGAACACTCTACAACTAGAGATACAAGGCCTCGAGACTATGCGCCACACACTCCAGAACTCTCTGACAGTCCTCCAAAACCGTCGGCAGAACCAACTGCGATCGCATACTGCAAACGGGAGACTGTTCAACATCGTCTCATACGTCTTCGCCGTATATTGCGCATACCGCATCATTGCCACCACCGTCACAACTCTCCGCCGCTTCTCCTCACCAAACGCGAGCTTCGCAAGCAGCGACCCCATTAACAATGTCCTCGCCCTCTTAGCCAAACACTGGGATCCCACCATCGACCGCGTAGCCTGGAGTCGTACCATCTCCTTCCTCCTCTCCGGCGTCATGCTCCTCCTCTCCTTCAACAGCGTCCTCCAAACCTTCTACCTCTTCGCCCGCGTCGTCCCCGGTCTCCTCCACCACGCCCGCACAAACTTCGCGCTTATCATCTCGCAGATCGCAGCAACTTACGTCATCAGCTCTGCACTGCTTCTTAGGAGTAACCTGCCGCCTGAGATGAAGAGCAAGATTGGGGATGCGTTGGGTGCGCCGCTTGAACCTGGGTTTACGGAAAGATGGTTTGAGGGATGGTTTTTGGCGGCGAGTGCGGCGACGGTGTTGGGGCTTTGGGCGGGGAAGAGGTTGAAGGGGGGTGAGTGGGATGATGATTGTGAGGGGGGTGAGGGGGATGTTGAGATGGGGAAGAGGAGTACGTAGATGGATGTAGGGTTGTGTTGTGTATGCATTGAACATTGTCACCATGGATCTATCGCGAGTCTGTCCCTGCGCATACTGGATACATGATATCGCTCGCATTTCTTACGTGAATGATTAGTACGATGATACAGAGCATCCTGTAAGCTGTCTTTTGATTTCCTATTGACACACTGTAACTGGTTTACGCACGTAGTTCCATCGTTCTGGATTCATATCAAAGGTGTTCATGTGGAATTGCAAGGGCTACCTACTATTAGCTCGTGTCCAGCTTGCGTGTTGACGCGAGAGCTTTCTTAGACATCGAGTCCATTTTCCCATCAGTTAAAAAAAGGGCCGATAAGAATTCCCATACGAAACCTGCATCCATAACCCACATCTTCGGCGCGTCCACCGACATCTGCGGACCAGCTCGGCGAATGCCATCACCATTCAGTATCACAAAGAGGCAGCGCCCAACGCGTCAAGTGATGGATAGCCACCGGGTATCGCTGCATGAAGGCCAAATGAACCCATTCAGCAAGTCTGAGCCGCCCGCCCACCCGCGCTTGCTAAGCATGCATCACCTCTGGACCCGCAATAACGCGCCATGCGCGACGAGCCGTTTGATTGCAAGTTGACGTCGATGTTGCCCGATGCAGGCGCGTTCGCGTTGTGACGTCAGGTTGGTGGGGCAAGGTGGTTCGCCCATGAAAACACATAGAGGGGACCTTTCTCGAGACATCTCCATTCACACCACTTCTCACAAGCTCTATTGTACAGGTATGTTTGAGAGGTGAGAGAGGGTTTGATGGGGCGTTGGCTAATTGACGAACAGACTACCAAGAACCCTTCAAATCTGTACGTTGTACCTGAGCGGGCGATGGGAGAGGGAGCTGGCGACACGAGCTTCACGGCAGCGAGCGAGCACTCACCCAGCCATCGCACCACCTTCCTCCCTACCATCCACTCCCCCAACATCCTCCTTCCTCCTTCTCCTCACTAACACACCCACCAGTCTCCCAAACAACCCTACAAACACAACCCCCCAAACCACAACCATGTCCGCCCCCAACGCCGGCCGCCAGTCCCCCGAGCCCGAGCGCCAATCCGGAGCGCAAGCCGGCCAGACCTCCGACAATGTCAACAGCCAAGGCGCAGGACCCAAGGAGGGCGCTGAGAAGGCGAGCGACAACACCAAGGACAGTCTGAGCAGCAACCCCCAGCACACTCTTGAGAAGCATGCTGAGGAGACTACGAGCAAGAAGGTCTAAGGGATGTTGACGATGAGAGACGGTGAGAGGGGAGGACTGAGATGATGGACGTACGACCTACAGAATGAGTAGGCAGTCTGAGCATGGAATGAAATGAAATGAATACATGAACGACTGTTGTCATGATATGATGTGTTTGGACGTATCTGTGCTTGTGCCTCTACTCTGACGTCGTAAGTGATGTCCGCCGATGAACTCGGTTTAGCAAAGATGTAGATTCACTGCATTTCTCAAAGCCCGCATGCATCTCTGACGCGCTGTTCCCTGCTTCGACTTCCGAACAGGATGCATAACCAGGGAGCCGACATCTATATCGTTTTGTTCATATAACGTCTTCATCTATTGAGTTGGCGACTACACGTACTCTAGTAGAGAACACTCGCGTTGGTTTGTGTGAGTGAAGCCTGCCCTTTCCGCACCGAATCGCTTCCCACTACCCCGCCATACTAGCCTCACCAACCGCCGCTCTCGTGATGCGACCCCGCCAACTAACCACAACATCTTCCTTCCTAAGCATCGCGATATCCCGCCGCTCCCCGCTCCCATCACCGCGCTACCCAAGTACTAGTACCATAAATCCCAACATTTTGCCATCAAACACACAAACTCGGGCGCTTGGGTAAGCTTCACCGCACAACCAACTCCGCCTCTACAATTAAACTAACAACCCTCAGTCTAGGGGTATGATTTGTAAGACACCACCAACAAACATCAAGATGTTTGGATATGAGACTAACACCATCAAAGTCGCTTCGCATTATCAAATGTGCGTACTTGTGAAAGGTCGTGGGTTCAATTCCCACAGCGTCCAGAACCTTCTTTTTTGCTGATTTTTTGGAGGTGTGGTGAGGGAGGGAGAGGAAGTCAAGAGGTATGTATATGTGATAGTGATGGTGGGGGTAGAGAGAGGGGGGTAACTGTGCATTATCCCCCCTCTTTCTATCCTTCTTCTTTGCCTTCTCTACACACATCTATCCTCTACAAACAACCATTCTTCTTAATCATCTTCACAACTTTCTTCATTCTACTTTCTTTCTTCTCTTCTTCCTTCTTCTCTACTTTCTCTTCCTCTATCTCGTCTCTGCTATCATATATAATAGTTAGCATTTTTGTTTCACTTGTCTTGCTTACTTCTGGTTTCCCCTTCCCTGTTTGTAGATATTCTGGTATCTATTCATTATTGTATTTAGTACTTTATTTCTTCTTCTTATTACTACTATTACTTACATCTATCATTTCTGTTCCTCTTCCTTTCCAGTTCTTCTCTTCTGCTGTTCTACCCATTTTGTTTCTATTGTATAGTCAGCTTTCTTTCTTTCTTCTTGGGAATTCTGAGGAACAAGAAGAAGAGAGGGGGACGGCATGTTTATATATGTTTTGGCTTTGACTCATAGAAGTGTGCGCTAGGCTGGAGTTTGGTTGCTTATCTTCGACTATGAAGTTGCGGAGATGGGAGTTGGGCGTACCGAACTAATACTTGCGCAAACCAGCGACTCCCCACAACCCTTCAGCGGCCA